ACAGTAATGCCGCCATGGCACGGCCACCGCATGGCACTGCATGGCACTGCATGGCCACGATACGCGCGCGGATTGCCGCACGGTACACACCGCCGGCCCATGAATATGTTCCCACGAAAAAAAAAGAAAAAATGAAAATGATAATTACGAAAGTGGGTGTCCACCTCGCTGGACGGACGGGCACGGCGTACGCTCGGGGGAAATCTCATTTTCAGCCGCTGTGTAAACTTCTTCCAACAACGCAACGGCCAAACCCGGTACCGCGATCAGTGCAAGTTATTTTTGGCGGTCCCTTTTGGCAGATGAGACATTTATTTTTGTTGGCGGTGCTTTAATTTTAGGCGGGCAGCACCGCCTGGCGCGCCGCACCGCCTCGGACTCGCCAGGCCATGCCTTGCAGGAAGGAGGGCGGATCCAGACGTGTGCCGTGCGTGGAATGTCCGGAGCATAATGTAATGAATTAACACCCTTGAATAATTCATTCATTCATTCATTCATTCATTCTGGAATGGAGCAAGTCACTGCGATAGCGCCCATCCACCGCCTTCCTTTCCGACTGCAGCCCCCCCCCCCCCCCCGGGGGGGCCCTTGGGGCAGACGAACGAGTGGCCAGAGCGATATGGACCGTTCTGAAGTGACCAAGGAGAAAACCTGTTCTCTTTGTGCGCACTTTTCGCCAATCGTGTTTCTCCAGAAGGTCATCCCTGGTGGACCCGCCGACGCCATGACAAGGTGTTTCTTTTTCCTGACAGCCTCTAGGTCGTGTCTCCTTCTCTGTTGATCCGCGCACATCTGCCTAGGGCAGCGGTTCCCAACCATGGGGTCGCGACCCCAAACGGGGTCGCGAAAAAATTTCGAGGGGTCGCGGCGAGGTGGCTGGGGTCGCCTGGGGTCGCGGTGGTTTCCCACGGTGGTCACAAATGTCTGTGAAAAATCGTGTTTTGGGCCGACTTTAAGCATCCACTGCGTCTGATCCGAGGCGGTATTTCGTCCTCCCTCAACGGGCAATTGGTCTTTGAACCTTCCTTTAGTATGCCTTTGTTAGGTAGTGCGATTATCTGCCTTAGTTTGGGAGCAGTATTGCCGCAAAGTTGATCAAAACGGTCACAAATGTCTGCAAAATCGTGTTTTGATCAACTTTGCGGCAATACTGCTCCCAAACTAAGGCAGATAATCGCACTCCGTAACAAAGGCATGCTAAAGGAAGGTACAAAGACCAATTGCCCGTTGAGGGAGGACGAAATCCCGCCTCGGATCAGACGCAGTGGATGCTTAAAGTCGGCCCAAGACACGACTTTTCACAGACATTTGTGATCGTTTTGATCAACTTTGCGGCAATACTGCTCCCAAACTAAGGCAGATAATCGCTTTCCGTATCAAAGGCATGCAAAAGGAAGGTCTAAAGACCAATTGCCCGTTGAGGGAGAACGAAATACCGCCTCGGATCAGACGCAGTGGATGCTTAAAGTCGGCCCAAAACACGATTTTTTAGACATTTGTGCCCGTTTTGATCAACTTTGAGACAATACTGCTTCCAAACTAAGGCGGATTATCGCACTCCGTAACAAAGGCATGCTAAAGGAGGGGTCGCGTGGGGTCGCGAAATTTTTCCTGGGGGTCGCGAAAATTTTTGGCTACAAATTTGGGGTCGCGAGCCGAAAAAGGTTGGGAACCGCTGGCCTAGGGCACGTTGCGTGGCGGCCTCGACTTTATTTCTCACCCGGCTACGAAATGGAATCCTTGATCGTGTACTTTTTTTTAGAGGAAAGTGAAAAAGGAATTTTTTTTCTGCCCCTGTCATCGAGTCTCACAATTTTCGTCACTTGAGGATTAGTTTTGCTGACCCTCCCCGTTCTGCGCAAACTGCCTGTCCGTCATGCTCTCTCTCTTTCTCGCACCAACGCCACTCACTCCACACTCTCTTATCTCACACACTCACGCACGTCCTATGCGCTCATACATTTCTCCGTCTCACACACACACACACTCCCTCATACACACAAACACACACAGACGCGCTCACACACACTCATTACGGCGAAATAATGGAAACAGAAGGGACGACGGAAGAAGTCGAAACCCACTACTTCTTCCCGCGGGTTGCGCTCGTTCTCACCAACTCGCGGGAAAGAATCGTAAGGAAGTGGGGAAAAAGGGAGGCGAAAGTACAGCAGGAAGAAAACTTGTCTCGAGGTCCATCCGTCCGTCCACGCGATGACAGACAGCCGTGGAGGGAAACGCTACTACGCTCACTGGACAAGACAACGATGCCCGGAGGCAGCGCACTTTCTTGGCTTCGGAAAAATACAGTCAAAGCAACGTAGCTAGCGACCGAACAAAGCCTTGACAGAGGAAAGTCTGAACGGGTAGAGTGCGCTTCGTAAAGGCAAGCGCCAGAAAACAAGTACATTGATTTAAAAAAAAAGAAGGGGAAAGACATTTAACCGCAGCGGTCACCATTCACGTTTTTCTATTGCAAGTTGGTACGGCAGCAGCGGAATCAATTTTTTTCTCAATTTTGGCTCCCCTGCCCTGTCAGTGCCACCCCAGCAGGTTGCCTGCCTGACTGGCTGCCTGGCTGCTGCCTGGCTGGCCGCCTGGCTCTAGGTGGGCGGCCTCCACGTGGCGTTTATCAATCGTAATGAGTCGGGCCGCTGAATGGCGCCATCCACAGGACCTGCAGAGTGATTCCGGATCGTGCTCTCCGTCTCTCTCGCACCGCTGCGCAACGCCCCATGAGAGCGAGAGAGACGGAGAGAGCCCCGTTCCGGAGCCAGCCCGCAGGGCACCGCGCAGCAACCGCCAATTCAATGACTCCCGTCAACGGATTCAAATAAAACCACACGCTGCCCCCTCCCCCGAAAGTGACAGCACCGTTCCTCTCTCTCTTTCACACAGCACACCAGAACGGGTGCGAGAGAGAGACACGCGAACGGGACTGCTTGCCCGTATTTATGCCCCTGCCACTGCAGCAGTAGGTGTGAGTTATGTCAAAAGTCCAGCGGCGAGTTAAGAAAAAAGGAAAACAGACAAAACAGCCCCTCTCTCTCCCTCCCGCATTCAAACACACACTCACACACACGGGCACATACAGAGGGATGGGCTGCGGTAAACTTCTTCCGCTTTTTTTGCGAGCCCCATAAATCTGACTTGGAAAAAACGGGACAAGAGGCCCGCTGAGTAGCGAACCACTCTAAAAATCACGCACATTTACGGCAAAAAAGTATTTTAATTAGCTTGGCGTCGGCCGCTCGGGACGGCCAGAGAGAGGGGTGATAGTGGAGGTAACCCCTTGGGGCTGACCCAGGCTCAGCAGCCCCCGGCGGCCCGAGGCCCAGACGGGCCCAGATGTCACTGATGATTGCGCTCGCTTCCCTCTCGGCGGCCTCGCGGGCCTCGCCGATCACAAACGACTCCTACGGTTTCGCCGCCGAATCACAGCGCAGAAATTAATTAATTAATTGATGGGACGGGAGAAAATTTACGGGAAAGTTGATGGTTTTTTTGCGCTTTGTGTTTTTGCCTGGAGTGAGGGGATGCCGGATGATGTAACCGAATGGGTGAATAAGACTGGGTCATCGCAGGGCTGCATGCAATGGGGTGGGAGGGCCCTCCTCGCGGTTTCGTCTTGCGGGGGAGCGGAGGGCGCAGGGACTGGCGGGGAGCGCTCGAGGGTAGGGCGGGCCTGGCCCGGCCGCGCCGCGCCGCCGTGGCGTCGGAGAACCGCTGCAAAAACTGCGATTGCGGGAGCGCTGAGGCGCGTCGGTGGCGGGGCGGGGCGGGGCGGGGCGGGGCGGGGCGTCCGCGGGGTGCCTCCACTAGCCAGGCACTTAGGCCCCACTAGGGCAGCCGCCCCACCCACAAAACCACGCGCGTTGCCGGCGTTCCGGGGGCGTTCCGGGGGCGTCCCGTTTTTTGCCGGAGTTAGCCGGCTGGGACGCAATCTGCTGAGCGGGAGATCGGCTAAGGTAGCCGCATAGCCAGGCCTGGCCAGGCATAGCCAGGCAGGCAGCCGCACCCACTCCGCGGTGGCGGCGGAACGCAGTGGCGTTAGGGCAGTGAGGGAGTCGGCGGAGTCGGAGTGCAGAGTGCTGCAGTGGCTGGCCACGGCCTGGCTCTCCTTGCTCTGCGGCCCCAAGGCCAGCCAGGCCAGCCACGGCCAGCCACGGCCATGCAAGGAGGACGGTTCAAGAGAAAGCCGAGCTTGCCGGGCTTGCCTGACTTTAATTACAAGCGCTTTGGGGCTTGCCCGACGGTCTTGCCCCGCCCCGCCCCGCCCCGCCACGGGGCCTGTCCTAGTGCGTGGCGGAATCTTCATGCCCCACTCCAGCTCCCAGGCTTCCCGCGCAATATCCCTCACTGCCCCCTTCTTCATATTCCGGAGACGCGGCGAGGAACTCTCCAACAACCCGCTTGTTTCAAACATTGGAATTATTTTTAAAAATATTCTTTTAAGCAAAGGTTTTTTTTTTTTTAAATTGAACCGCAATTGTCCGTTTTGTAACACGCGTGCAGCCCTAAAAACCTAAAAATCTCTTCCGAAAAATTTAATTAAGTCTTGACCCTATTTTTGCAGAGTATGTTTAGACAGGGAAGAAGGTGGAACTCTGGCGCTCTAATTTTCCTTTTGTTTTCCCGTTGACTCGGCCAGACTTAAGCTCGGCAAGGCGGGGGCGGGGCGGGGCGGGGCGGGGCGGGGCGGGGCGGGGCGGGGCGGGGCGGCCTGCTGCCGGCGAACGTGAAATCACTTTGCCCTAATCTGCTCTTCAAAATTCAGCGGCAGACTCCACGGCCCGGACGCCGCCAGTGTGTGTGTGTGAGACAGAGAAAGAGAGAGCGCGTGTGTGTGTGTGTGTGTGTGTGTGTGCAGAGGGGTCGCTTTCAAAGTAAGTCATTGGGCTTTCAGTTTGCTTGCTTTATCTGGGCAGCGATCTCTCCTCCGCCTTCTGGGCCTACTCCCGTCTCGACTCCCTTCGCTGCGCGTGCCTCGTGGGACTCACCTGTCCTCGATGAGGTACTTGTCCTTCTCGCTGTGCACGCACACGCCCTTGGTCTCGAAGTCGCTGCTGGAGATGGCGATGAGCTTGGGCACGCCGGACTGGAACCAGCGGCCCTGCCACTGCTCCGGGAAGACGCACTCCGCTGCAACAAACGACGGGTACATGAAGTGCCAACCGCGGAAAAAGAATTACAGTGCACTTTGGTGCCGCGAGGTTGGCACTCCTCCCTGCAGAGCGACCAGAGAGACGGGAGTGCTCCCGGCTTCACGAGGACAAGGCAAAACTAATTCAAACGAAACTTCGTGAACGCAGAAACAGAATAAAGGCGCAGCGGCTATCCCTTTGCGAGCGAAAACGTAGTGTCTCCGGGTTAATCCACTTGAAGCTCCGTTTGCCGTTCTAAACAGCCGCAAGAGGAGCGCGCGGACAATTTTATTAGTGCCCTTCCGATCAGAGGGCACGGCGGCAGCAGTTTGGAAAGGGGGGGGGGGGGTCTATCGGGGAGAGTGGACGCTGGGCCCGCCGCCACACGCACCGTTGCCACGGAATGTGGTTCAATTCCCCGCGAGTGCTGCTTTTAACCGCAACTTTTCCGGAGAGGCAAACGAGACCCAGAGCGGCGGGGCCGGAGCGTCCTCCCCCAGTCCAACGCCTCGCGGAGCGGACCACTCGGAAGAAGTTTCCATCAATTCCACGGGTGTAAAACATTTTGCATCTCTTTGAGTGCGCCGGGGCGGCATAACGCACGTAGGCGCACGCACCGACACACGAGCGCGTTCGAATAAAAAATATGGCACTGTATTTCCCTGCGCGTTTATCATTCCGATCGACGGCAGCTTACATTCCACGCGGAGGTTCGTCCCCCGCCCCACTCCAAGGATGACAAGTTTGAGCATTCCCGTAAAGCTATAACCTCTTGTTTTTCAGCCGCCGGACAGCCAGCCAGACAGCCCGAGGGGTGAATCACTAGTGTACTCATGTGTACAAATTTGCCCGTACTCAGTGTACTCTCAAGTTTAATAAGGGTGATATTCTGTACTTTTTCGCTTGATTTGGCGTTGGGTGTCGTTTAAAACGCTAAATAAAGCCTTTGAGCGTTTACAAATGCAAAATTTGTGAGCTAAGCAAGGTGTACTCACCCGTACTCATGTACTCATGTGTACACCAGAACGCTGAGTCATTCACCCCTCGAGACAGCCAGCCGGACAGCCAGCCAGACAGCCAGCCCGACTGGCAGCCAGCCGCGCCTCGCTGCAGCAAAGAAAGCCCTCCCTCCGGCGCTGCGCTGCCTCCACTGCCACGGGGAAGCCACGAAATTGTTATTGTTAATGTCCGAAAGTTTGTGCGAGGGTGGCGCGGCCTGGCGGCGGCCTGGGTGGTCGACGGCCAGGCAGACTGATTCCGTTCAGCGCCTCTGTCTCTCTCGCACCCATCGGGGAGGACCTTTCTTTGACGTGCTATTTTCCCGGCTCGGTTTCGAAGCAGCGTTGCTGTAAAGATAGTCGAAACGGCGACAAATGTCTGAAAATCGTGATTTGGGCGGACTTTGTGCAGCCACCGCGTCCGAAGCAAGGCGGTGGATGGCACTTTCTCTCTTCATTCAACTTGGCGAGCGCCCTCGGCTTCGGCAGCACCTGAGGGCGCATCGGAACTCCAGCCAATCATGTACAAGGAGAGCGATCATGAAGCAGCGGGGCCGGAAAATCACATTGTTTCGACTGACTGGCTTCGCCCCGCCGGCCCCGCCGGCCCACTGGTTGAAGAGAGAAGTTTGACGTACGACCACCGCCCTCCTCACGGCACACCGATTCCGCTTTATTTTTCGCGCATTTCTTCTCCCCTCGGAAACGAATTAAAAAGGAGCAGAGAGTCGGGGCGATAGGTGCGGTCGCGGGTGGGATTTCCCCGTCGACAGGGGCGGGACAAGGAGTCAAAAGGCCGTTTTGGTCTCGCCGACAGGGGGAGAGAGAGACACAGAGAGAGAGAGAGACAGACCCGCAGACAGGAAGAGTGACCCCGTCGGGCGAAAAAGATCGGCCGGGCGGAATAAACCGCCTCCTATCGGAATATTCGGGCCATGAATATTTAAAAAGAAGGGCAAGGCGAGGGAGATGGAGAGGGAGAAGGGAAATGCCAGCCAGGCCGGCCCAGCGCAGCACAGCGCAGCACGGACACGAATGACCGACCAGGCACACGTGGTCAGCGAGTCACGTCAAGACACGCTCCGAGCGCGCGGTCGCGGGTTCGGAAACCAACAACACAACTTCTTTTTTTTTTTTTTTTCTTAAAAAAATATGGGAACCGAATTGCTTTTAAACAGAAGCAAGCTGGGAAGTTAGCTGCTGGATGTAGGACTTTCCCCTGGCTTCGAGAAATCAAGTTGGATCTACAGAAGAGAAATCGGGCCATTCATTTTCACCGCGATATACCACCACACTGCGATTAGGATAAGACGATTAGAGGGAAAGTGACATTTCCCTTCTCACGCTTCCGTGCCCCGGTCTCACTGACCCACAAAAGGGATTCGAGTTGTAACGGGGCGTGGCCACCACCAGGTCGCCCGCCAGTCGCCGCTACCCGATGGTACAACCGGTGACCTTCCGCCTACCCCGCGTCTCGGCTCGGCCCGGCGCGGCTCGGCTCGGCTCGGCTCGGCTCGGCTCGGCTCGGCTCGGCTCGGCTCGGCTCGGCTCGGCTCGGCTCGGCTCGGCTCGGCTCGGCCCGGCTCGGCTCGGGGACATGTTTACTGTGCCATTACTGTCATGCTGCCGCATGCTGCCCACCGTGGGACAACAACATGTCTTTTTATGGAAAGCGGAAAGGGGTGGCAAAAGGCCCCTGAGGCCGCAGAGCAAAAAGCGAAGGCTAATTTTTCCGGAAAGCGGATCTGGAAGGTAGAATAACACTAAAAATCGCACACCGTTTCGGACTTTCGGTTGAAATTTCCCTATTCAAAATTGTAAATATTGAGCGGAATTTGCGCTGCGTAATGACTGCATGTCACGCGCTTAATGGTAGTGGCCCAACAGCAAGGGATTACCCCGCGGGGGCGGGTCACACTTTTTTAAAACGCGCTGCCCTCATGCAAAGAGAATGTGTTAGTGCCGTACCTTTGTTTTGTATCGATTGCGGTGACGCACACGATCGTGTATGTATGTGTGTGTGTGTGTGTGTGTGTGCGTGCGCGTCTGTGTGTGCGTGCGATGATGCCATGGCGCGGTGGTCACCGGGTTCGGGGCGACCATTCGCCGCCGGTCTCCGATTCATTCAGCACCGCTCCAAATGACTATTGCAGCAGGAAAAGACACGGAGGTCACCGTTTCATTGTTTTGGCATTTCTACGTGCGTGCGTGTGTTTGTGTTTGTGTGTGTGTGTGTTTGTGTGTGTGTGTGTGTTGGTGTGTGTGTTTGGGGAGGGGGAGGAAATAAGCGAACCATTAGCCCATCAGCAGCAGAGAGCGGACGCTATATCAATGGACTGCCCTATGCCCCTCACACACACACCCACACACACACACACACACACACACACACACACACACACACACAGAGAGAGAGGCGTACCTCAATGCGGTTGGACAGACCAAAGTACCGCCCACTGTGCCGACGACGTTTGTCCAGCCATCAGTCCGGAGTGTCTGCCTGCCTGCGGGCCTTGCCTGTCTGTCTGTCTGTCTGTCTGTCTGTCTGTCTGTCTGTCTGTCCGTCTGTTGGCTCAACAGTGCGTCCGCCTGTCCGTACGCCGCACCCACGGTCCGGTAAAAATGCAGCAGCCCAGCCATTGGAACGGCGCGTGCCCAAGGCGCTGATGATGAGGGCAGACCGCGTTATAGCGTTAGAACAACAACAGGGGAATGTGATGAAAACAGTTGCGCCTGCCCCGCGGGGAGACTGTGCAAACTGTGGGGCTCTGCTTGGTGCCTACAGTGGTGGCGCGGCCGCGGTGGCCGAGGCGGTGCACAGTGGACCAGAAGACCGGTGGAGGCGGCCAAAACTCTAGACGCGTTTTGAGCTCCAGAGTCGCTGAACAGGGCTCGAACCGGACGTGTGACCCCACCAATGGATTCCTCGTTCGGAGAGCAATCCATTGGTGGGGTCGCGCGTTCGGTTCGAGCCCCATTTAGCGACTCTGGAGCTCAAAACGCGTCTGGAGTTTCGGCCCACTGTGCGGTGGGCGCCCGCTTTCCGCTTCAAAGGCCAGCGCGCAGCCAGCGCGCCGCGCGGCCGGATTTGGCACGTCTGAAAAATGACTGGGCGTTGTGGGGCGCTGCAATGTCGGCCGCTTTCCGCGGATGAAGACGCGCTTTGCTGCCGTCTCTCTCGCACGCATGGGGCGGCCTGGGGCGGCCCGGGGGCTCGCAGGGGTGCGAGAGAGAGAGAGAGAGAGAGAGAGAGAGAGAGAGAGAGAGAGAGAGAGAGAGAGAGAGAGAGAGAGAGAGAGTGAGCAGCCAGCCACGTGTGCGGACGGTGCGGCCGAGTGAGCATCGCCGTCCTCTCGCTTGAAAGCAAGAGGAAAAGAGCGCCGCGAAATAATTGTCGGGAAAAAATGTGCAGAAAAGGAGAGAGAATGATTGTGGAAAGCGGGGAGAGAAAGAGGGAAGGCAAAAAAAAGGGAACAGCGTTGGCGGGTGTTGATGAAAGCGGCTGAGAAGCCTCTTTGATGCAAAAGACGGCCTGGGATTGGGTGGGGATGTGTTGGCAGTGAGTCGCCACACTCGGCGAAAGTCACGCAGGCGGAATTAAAACACTGTAGGTAGGCTCACCGAGGGCGCCTGGGGCCCTGCCCGGGGCAGGGCCTTGCCGAGGGCTCAGGCCTGGATCGGCGAGGGCTCAACACCCAGGGCGGACATGGCCACGGCGGGGAGCAACGAACTGGCCGGGCGCCGAAAGAAGGGAGAGTGCGGATAAACCAGCACGGCAGGTCGCATAGAGTAAAAACGGAGCACAGACTGCTCCTCGCCGCGCCCTCGGCCCAGCACGGGCATCCGATCCGCCAGCTTGGAGTCGGTACGGGGAAGACTGGTGGCGGCTCGTTCCCAGAACCAGGCGTCGCGTCGTTGTGCAACATGGCGATTGCCATGCGGGTCAACTTCCTCCTTGAGTCCTCCCCCTCCCCTCCCCTCCCTCCCCCTCCCTCCCCCT